TTATTAAATCAATAGAGGGGTTAATAACTATATCCTCCCTACTATCCTATTCGGTACATTATTTATTATCCTCCTCTTCCTCTTTTTTATCTTCTTCTCCCAAATTTCCTTCCTTATTGTTTTCGTTAGCACTAGCGGCGGCTTCTTCTTAGAATTGGGTAATAGTAGTAGTTTCGGTAAAAGTACTATTCGTATTAGTAGCCGTACTAATAATTATTACAGTTATAATTATAGCCTTTTTAATTTAAATTCCTCTATTAAATTTAACGAACTCCTTCTTTACCACTAGAAGGCAATCCTTTACTTACTTAGTAAGCAAGAAATTTTCCGGCTTTAGGGGTATAACCTTCTAAATTATAGGTCCTCTCTTAAGTAACCAATTACTAAAGTCCTAATTACTACTAGCGAATTTCTTAAGAGTTTTATACTAGCTAGGCCAATCGGTAGGGGTATTGAAAATGACTATAATAGCCTTGTTGGTAGATTCCTTTAATTAAAATATAGCTAACGTTATTGGTTTCATAAGGATATTGCTTATAATCGATAATTATAGCGTTAAACGTAAATACGCAAATCAGACTATTAATTATCAAATTAAACGGTATAGAATTGATTGATTGAAGAGTGTATATAGTTGATTCGAACTAACGCTCCAGAAGGTATAGGGGGTGCTGGGGTAACCCAGATATGCCCAGAAATCAGGCTTAATTAGGTGGCTGGGAGATCTAACCCTCAACGAGTTAGCCAGAATCCCCACCCTTGAATCTGACAAGATTCGCGGATGCGCGGCGCCTTTGGCTGATGGAACGTCATCATCCATTGGGTTGGGCTCATGGATTGAACTTCCCTTGTTGTGGTGGTGGCTGTTGACTGTTGTTGTTCGCAGTTGTTGTTTAGTTGTTTGTTGTTTCTTGGTCAAAGCGTTTGAGCAGGTTTTCTTCGACGGAAATTGTTAGTGTCAGAGATTAAACAACGTCCCTTCCTGTTTGATCCGAGTTGAGTCCTTTCCCGTGCCTTCCGCCGTTGAATCGGTTCCTGGATCGTGTTGGAGGCGTCGTGAGGCGCTCCTTCTCTTCCTCAATGTGGGAGCGTTGGGGGTCAGTGGGGTCTCAATCGGGTTTAGCGCGGCAAGGAAGTGGAAGCCACCACTGGCCGCCGATCATTTCTGGGCTGTGGAGAAGAGAGCGGGAAGGAGACATGGATCGTCGTGCACTAACAGAAGACCCCTGTTTTGAGTGCTTTTGCTCGCTGACGTCTGATAGTGCGGGGAAAGAGGCCCCTGTCATCCGCCAAACAGTGCCCTTCTTCACGGGCGGCTGCAAACAGTAAAACATCGATGGTCGACTTCCTGCATTTCCTCATCTCGCTCATCTTCATCTCTCTTGCGGTTCTTCTCACATCAGCAACAAACTCAGCTTCTGCTGTGTCTCCCCTACCGCATCATTAGCCAGAACTCCCTCTCAACCGGGTTTCCTAAAGGGTATCAGGGTCTCCCCCCACGAACCCCTCAATAAGGATCACAATATATCCAACCCATGCATTCGACCAGACACAGACTGCCAGGTTATCATCATCCTGCTTGTTTCAAATCCAGGCATATTTCCAAGCATTCATGAAAGGACAGCATGGAAACGAGTTGGTCTCCCGATGCCGGTCTCAGGTCTGTTCATGTGCCTTGCATTGCCACCTTCTCCCCGTCTAGCAGTCGAGATTCTGGATCCCATCGCCACTTCCACCTTCTTCAACGGGAGCAACGCTCTAGATGTTATAGATCACGGAAACCTTTCCAATATCGGGCATACAATGTTTGCTTTGGGTATGTGTGGGGGTCCATCCGGATATTCGGAGTCTCAGAATCAAGTGATGGCAAGTGATGGGAAGCTTAAAAGTCAACAGCAGCTGGAAGCCGTCCGCGTCTCCATACCCTCCCACTCCTCCGCCATCTACACTACCGTGGTCTTCATATTGGTACGGAAATAGAAGCAGACGGGTTGGCGGGACATTCGAGCCAGCATCAGCCATGATGGAAAGGCCCGCCGTATTGCCCGTTACCCACTTCTCCCCGTCCCTTCATTCTCTCCGCCTTCTCGTTTCCCCGTTTCCCCGGCCTCCCGGTTCTCCACCACCTCTCCGTGTTGCCGCTTGGTGACCAGAGAATCACCAGGGACCAAGAGGACCTGGACAATTCCCGAGGCCCAGGTCTTGGGACGCGGCACAACGCAGTTACATAACCACTCACTTTCCCAGTCTCCAGTGTTTCTGTCGTGGTCCAACCGGAACCGGTCTTTGGGGGCAAAAGCGATCGGGATTAAAGTGTCTGAAAGCAGTGTATGCGTGTGGAAAGAAAAAAAAGTTGGACACAACCTAAAATTGTCGTCCGAGTTGTACACCGTCCGACTTGAGCGGGGTATCTCAGGACTGGGAAGAGTAATTCAGTTACTCAAGAGGGGACTCAAGGGGTAAGGGGTAATTACTCTCTTGTCCATACGTTTTTCTTCAAAGGGGTATTTTGATGAAGAAGGACCCGAGGTTTGTTAACCTTGTGATCTCGTGATGGGTTGAGGGAAGTTCTGCTTGGTTAAGCCGCGAGGGCTGAAGTTTCAAACTTTGTGCTCGTCACTCCAAGAAATGTCACGGTAGATTCGGATGTGGTATTGCGGCTCAGCGTCGTTCGTAACGGGACTGGAGGGACATGGAGGACTGGGCTCAAGCCAACAGTTGCAACCGGCAAGCCCATCTCATTCAAACGCCGCCGCCGCCGCCGCCGCCGCCGCCGCCGCCATGGCCGTGAACCGGCGACACAAGTTTCGAACCCTCAAACCCGAAAACTCATGGTCAGTGATTATCTCTTTGTTCGCCGCAAGTTTGGAGCCGCCATATCCATGAAGAGATGTCAGGTATGAGGCGCCACCTAGAATTAACAAAACTTCAGGGTCCAACACACTTAACCCAAATTGGGCAACTGTTAATTGGAGGCTTGAAAGGTAATATCGGTCAACTTACCTTTCAGTGCCATCTAGACCTTCATATTAATCACTTGCATAGTAGCATGGGCGCATTGCAGTCGGTCGGCATGTACTATGTAGGCGGTGCATGATTGCATTAGGATTATACCCGCCAGTCACCATGCTCAAAGTAAAACATCAGCGGCATGCACCAAAAGATGGCAAGGTCGCAAGGAAGAACCGAACAGCGAAGCGGAAGCGGAAAACCGAAAGAATACCGTTGGCTCAAGACTGGCAAGCAATTTGGCAATCTCCTCATCAAGGGATGGATGGCCCATGATTTCGTCTTCAACCTGTGGCAAGAAGGCATGCATGTGCCCGCTGGCCGGGCGCCGAAACAACGGTTGCCCGCGGATCGAGCCGCGCCAGTTGGCCCAAGCTGGCGAGGGAAAGCTGGAGAGGCACCACCGGAAACAAAACCGCTTTTCGTTTTATTTGTTTCCTTGTTGAAGAAAAGATCATAATGGTGGCTATGAACGGCTTCGGCTGTGCTATCCTATCAACGGTAAACACTACCTAGCTTGGTGTAGGATGGGGGAAGTCCAAGGCGTCACCAGCTGGGCGTCACAGATCTCCCTTCTTCCACCCCGCGTACCTCGGTTTGTGCCTTGTGCTTTGTCACTTCGTTGCGATGACTTGTAAGAGAATAAGTCGTGAAAACTTGGCCTGGGGAAACGTTCCACATCGTTTCTTGTGTACTTGTGTTTCCCCCGAGGTTATCGACCAAAGCTACACTTACCCAGTTCGCATACAAGCAGACGATCGTACCTACCTTCTACATTTCCATAGGCCCATCTCCACCAAGGCGTTGGAGCTCAACACTCAGACGCCCAGTCCAGACCTGATGACAAGACGAGAAAGGCAGGAGCGACGAGATGAGTAGGCAACAAGCTAAACCAAATTCGTCGAGAACTTATCTTCACGGCCGAGTTGAGCTTCGTCAGTCCACATCAGTTCTTGAGCTTATCCAATGAAGGAAGCTAAGAAGCGAATTCATTTCGCGAAACCCCGGTTCATGCTTCAGAAGTGCTGCGAGAGTGCTGCGTGAGTGCTGCGTAAGCGCCATGTTGTGCACTCCTTTCATCCATCGTCCATGGTTCGCATTGCCAACGAACAGCCTCGAGACATCGCTCGACCAAGAAGGGATGGATGGATGGATGGATGGATGGATGGATGGATGGATGGATGTTCTCGTTGAGAACTTGAGATGATGGCCCGAGCGGTTTGCAGGGTCTTGGTCTTGGGTTTGGTTTAAGGAGCATGGAGGAGCACGGAGGAGGACCGACCGAGGTCAGCGACTTCGGACAGGACCAAAAGGAATCGGTGATCGTGGATCAGAAGACAAGAAGACAAGTCGAATTCCAGATCGAAGGAATCCCCGCGGGAACTGAAACTGCCCCTGGGGAAGAGAACGAGGAGAACCGGAGTCCGGGGAGGAGGGGACAGTCACAGAAGCTCAGTCGGAACAGTTGCGTATTTTCTCGATGGTCTAGGTACGTTGCTCTACGGGCGTAAGAAAGCCACAATGCCGGGCCCCTCCCCGGTATGTCCTCTCTTCATCCCCGTGTCCGTGCGGAGTAAGCTGGACAATTTGGGGAAGAAGGGAAGGGGAAGAGGAAGGGGAAAGGGGAAAAAGAGAAGGCGATTTGGGGGAGCACAACTTGCACAAAAAGTACTTGCCGGATGTATACTGCAGCACATAGAGTGCGGATGTACTCCCAGCCACCCGTCACCCGTTTTATTTGACAAGGTCGTCCAGCTGTCAACCAAGTGTCTGACCGCATTTACAAGTACGCCTCTCCTTGTATGTGAAATTGCTAAATTGAGTCCCGTCCTTCCAATACCGGCCTCCAACTGCCGTCGCCGTCTCCGATTTCGTATGCCGCTGTCTACCGCTGTCAGCCGTGCCCGTCAGCCGTTGTCTCTGCCGAAACGGTTACCGGTGCCGCGGCCTATCCTTTTTGAGGAATCCCATAACTCTATCGAAACGATTTCAAATCACAGAATCCCAAAATGACGAGCATCATGACTCGCGTGCAAGTCGAGAACCTCCACTCACTTGGGGTGAGGTGGGTTTCAGTGGGCTGTGGTTCCCTGTGGTGGGGTTTCCCCAACCTTTTTGGTGGAGAGGGGATGGGATGGCTACAGAAAACTGAGATCACGGAATGGAGTTGCTTAGTCGATGGCTTTTTATTTTCTGTAGCGTGAAGCGGGGGAACCGGGCCGGGGAAGAGCCCACAGCAACAAGGCCAAAACATGGAGGCCGTTCCTGGAGCTTCTGTTTTTGGAGCAAGTGAACTTGTTCCCCCAAATCCACGAACCACTTTCATGATCTTTAGACCAATGAAGCATCGTGTCATGATCAAAAAAGAAATGGAAAACACTTGACATTTCATGACAGCTTCCTTTGACAGCAATCCGATGGTCTGGCATCCTGTCACACCTCCATGATCACGCTTCCACAACTCAAAAACACGATTCAGACCCTGGACGCCGATCAGCCTTTTATATAACACCAGGCTTCCCTGACTATCGTCCAAGCCTCCCTCGTTTACACCATACACTCCATCCTTCCCGATCAATATCATGGCCTCACCAGTAACAACCTCGTTCCCGGCCAACGTGGACGACGTGGTCTTGGACCCTGAGTCTCTCATCCGCCTCCTGCGCGCCTACGACCCTGCCTTTGATGGCGCACAGGCGGTGAGAGCCGCCTACGAGGATGCTGTTCACAATGTGATGATGGACCATGATCTGGATCTTGACAGCGAGGACGTCGGTCGCGGCCTCACGGGGAACGCCCTCGTCGACTGGGTTACCGCCCATGTCAACTCAGACACCTTGCTCTCTGTTGACGAGATAAACCAGTAAGGGCCTTGTCCTGGAAACGCCACACTTTTTTCACACTTGTCTTCCTAACACACAACCCAGGTACGCCGCCCTCGAACGGGCCGGGCTCCTGCCACACTTGGAAGCCACCCTCACCCAGCCTTCCTCCATGTCCTTGTCCATGCCCATGTCCGATCTCAAATCCAGCGATCCGTCAAAAGTCCCTCCCCTCAGCGATCAGGAGATCAGAGCGGCCACCCAGGAACTCATCCGATCAACCAGTCTCATCACCCGCCAGACCGAGGCCCTGCGCGAGCAGCAGGATCACCTCGACCGGCTTGTCGCCGAGCACAAGAGGGATACCCAAGCTAGGGCCGCCTTGGAGGTTCAGCAGCTCAAGGGGCTGGGGGAGCGGCAGAGGGTGTTGGTTCAGTCGGTGAGCTTTATTTTCTCTCATGTCATCATAAACACATCACGATCCATCTGAGATCTTAAGGGTCCTGATGTCTTTCAACTATCTTCTATCCATCGGTTTGACACTGACCGACTAACTGAGTAAACAGGTGGTGGAACTAACCCTGTTCTTGGGCGACAAGGTTGATGAACTGGAGCAGCAAATTGAAGAGCGGAAAGCCGACGTCGAAACGCTCGTCGATGGAATGTTTCACTCGGATGACCATGTTTTGTCTAGTCTCCAGAAATTAGGGGACCAGTTGAGTAGGTGTTGTTCTGGCGAGGACGCCAACAAGGCGGAGGAGGAGATAATCAAGAGTTTGCGTGACGTTTGCGCTAGGTGAGCACTTGTCCCTTGACCTGACACATCAGGGTCTGGCACAGCATGGAAGCTAATCTGTTGTGAGATAGAATGATCAAGTTCCATGTGGAAGGGATTAGAACGAGCTTGGATAGAATCTATCTCGAGACCCTTCATGCGGCGATAGAGTCTAGTGCTGGGGGTGATGGTAGTACCGTCACAGTGGAGGATGTTGCTGCTGTCCAGCGGGAGTTGGAGGAACTCTACACAGAGATCCTTCCAGTCGGTCAGATGGCTATCGAGCATCAGTTCTTGCGGCCTGCTCTTGATGATCTAGCAGCCAAGAATGGCCGCAGTCTGGAGCAGTCGACACAAGCAGCTCATTATGTAGGTTGCCCGCACACATCTTACCTTGACCAAGACTAACATTCCCAGATCGACGAATGCCTCGACTACCTGCTCGACCGCATCACCACCATCCGCGCGTGTCTCCAAGAGTATCTCTCGCACCAACAAGCCGTCGCCGAGTTTGCCCAACTCACACGACCAGAACTCAACACCAACGGCCTGCTTCCTCAAACATCCACAGAATCATCCCGACCTGGCACAACACAGGCGCACCACCGCCGACACTCCTCCTTCCCCCGCCAACTCCCAACAGATTCACTATCCCCCGAACTCAAATCCATCCTCCAAACCCTCGGCATCCCCATCCCCTCAGCAGATCCCGCACTCCAATCCCACCTCTCCGCCCTTCAATCAGCCCTCGACTCCACCTTAACAGACCGCCAACAAAAGCGCGACGAACTATTCTCCACCGCGCAATCAACCTTTGAAGACGCAGTAACCAAGCACATAGGCGATGCGAAGGCTGCCCTTGCCATGCTGAGGGACTCGGTGTTGGCGGAAAGTCCGTGGGGAGCGGTGAGATTGGTTGATGAGGAGTTGGAGGGGAGTGTGGAGGTTATCAGACAGGAACTCGGGAAGATAGAAGAGTGGAAGGGGGATGTTGATGGGGCTGTCAAGGCGGCGAGTGGGAGCGAGAAGAAGGAGGCGTTCTTGAAGCGATGGGGGCATCTTGCAACTGCCCTATCATGACGCTAACATGGCACGTCAAAAGAAGGTTATCGCCCGAGCCGCCCGCAACATGCATCATGATCTGAAGTGGTCCAGACATCTGGGCGTCCGTAGGCCAAGGCGATCATAAGATAAAGCCAAGATGGGCTCGGGCCAGGCCTTGGTGGAGCCCACCATCACGGCACTGCGTCCAAGTGCCGATGACGATGATATCATTGTTTCTTCATACCCGATGCATATGGCATGGTTCCTGCTTTTCGACGTCGCATACGGTGGGCTGAGAGTTCCTGCGTTAGGTATATATATCTGGATCCCTTCGGAGTGGTTTGGCATTAGATCAGTCTTACATACCGAATCTCATAACTACCACACATCAAAAACACTAGCCTTCCCATCATCAACGCACGATACAAATTGCACTATCAATAACAACATCAAACAATCAACATGGACACCATCAAGAAGAAGATCAACAAGGGCTTGGACAAGGCCACCGGCGTTAACAACGAGCGTACGTTTTCCTCTCCTCTCTTCTCTCTCCTCTTCCCCCCTCCTATCCGTGCCCTCCCCCCCCTCCCGACTTCCCCCTTCATCATGAATGTTCCCGACACATCGATCCCATCCAGTTCCCGCTCGCCTACCTTACATATGATTTCCCACCTCCCCCATCCACCCACCACCTTCATATGCCCACAAACACCACAAATTCCCAACACACATAAAACCAGCAAGCAACGAATAATAACACGAATGGACGCAATAGCCCAAGTCCTCAACAAGTCCTCCCAATCCCACGCCCTCAACATCACCGGCATCAAAGACCACCAATCCTCCCCCCTGACGAGCGGCCTCGAGAAGCCGCAAGACCCCAGCAAAGGCTTGGGTGCCGTGGGAACGGGAATGACTGCTACGGGGGTTAGCACTGGTACGAACCCGAACCCTGCTGCTGCGCGCCAGTAAATTGTAAATGCGTTGCTGTTGCTGTTGCTGTTGCTGTTGCTGTTGCTGTTGCTGTTGCTGTTGCTGTTGCTGTTGCTGTTGCTGTTGCTGTTGCTGTTGCTGTTGCTGTTTAGCGTATGATGCTTGCGATGCGATGCGCGTGCTTCCGTCCGTCGAGTTACTGTTTCTTTAGCGAGTGGTGTTTTCTTTGATGGCGAGCGAGCGAGCGGTTTTGGAATACAACGATCATCCGCGTTTCCCTTTTATCTCGATGACTTCCTTCGTGCGTGGAATTGGTGTTTTCGATTCGATCAACATGACCAACATGAACCTAAACCTGAACCGGTTCTGACGAATACCTACTACATACGCGATACGACCCGCAAAAGACCGTCGAGCCTCAAATCAACACGCACGAGACATGGGCTACGGCCCCGGTTCCGAGCCATGCTACGGCGGCACTGGTCCTCACCTCGGTTTGCATAGGGGTAGCGTTGGATCAATTGGATCAGTTGGATCAGTTGGATCATCGGGATCGGGATCCGAACTTGGCGGTCTCGGAGGAGAAGGAGGAGAACAAGTTGGGATCGGCATGGGTACGCAGTCACATGGACGGTATGAACATCGCCAGCCGAGCTTGCAGGAGCAGAGGAGGGGAGAGAGGATGGGGTGGGATATTGGGGAGCATTTTGATGTTTGAACCTCTTAAAGTTGGGATATGTAACAATAGTTGGGTATGGGTATGGGTAATGAATGAATGAATGAATGATGAACATACAAGTTTGTAAACATCATGATACTTGCTGTTCCGGTTGGGTGGGTGGCTTGGACCATCAAGCCGGCCTGTGACTACTACGTAGTCTTTGCGATCAAGCATTCACAAACCAAGTTGGTTCGGATTTGTTGAAGTGTAGTGCTCGCTTGCGCTTCTGTACGAAAGCTCGCTGGACAAGCTCGTGTTCAGAATGATAGTGCTTCTTACAGTCATTCTTCGGCAATCTCGTGTCAGTCAAGCGGTTCATGGCAAGGTATTACTGGATTGTTGTTTCTTCGCTTGATGAACATCAGGAGAGGTGTTTGAGCTGCATTGGGAAACTTTTGAATCCACCACCACTACTTACACCGTGATCATGATTACCTGTATGGATACCTTATCGATGTCGGCATTCCCGCAATTTGGATCTGTCACCACCATATCAACCACAAATGCCAAATATATCCAGAAAGTTTGACCAAAGAACATTTTGGCCACGATCATGCTGGCGCGGCCACCTAACATCAGGTTGCTCGGGAGCAAAGTCATCCAAATTGACATCAACCATTAACTTTCAGTTCCGTCCCGTTCACTCCTGGTCTTCCTATTATCCCATGTCTTCGCCAAGTTCACCTTCACTAGTCCTTTTATCCTCCATTCAACTTTAGCTTCCTCGTCTCCATATCACAGTTCATTCCTTTCTCTCAGGAGGCCACTTCTTCTTCCTGACTTACCACTAATTCTCGATCTACTCAGCCCGTGGCACCTCGCGAACGCCCTGCAGCTCGCCCATCCCATCGAGAGCGAGAACTGAGAATAACGCAGAACCACGACCCAAGATCCGACCATCAACACCAAAGAACTCACCATGTGCATAATCTGGTGGACCTCCGCCTGTCCGCACTGCCGCCGTCTCATTCCCATCCAAGTCGTGCAGCAACCCGACGACGAGCTACGAACCAACCCCCCTCGACCTGGACATGAAGTTCCTGAGCAGCCGCCTCAACAAACCAACAGCACCACCAACAACACCATCCCACATGCAACCTATTGGCTTGGCCCCCTTGAACCGGAGACACACGAAGTCCAAAGTATCTGGAGATGTTATCAAGTTGATAGCAGAATTTCGCTGAGGGAGTCGTTGAATGCTTACATGACGAAGGATTTAAACACCAGGGCGGATTCGAGTACAGGTACTTTCGCTGGGCCGAACCCTAGCCAGAATTCTGGTCCCGGACCAGGCGGACCAGGCGGACCCGGAACCGGAACCGGAACCGGCTCGGGCTCCGGCCCCGCCCCCGTCCCAAACGGCGTTACCGCCGGACCTGCTGCACCCGGACCTTCGGGAGCCGGCGCCGTAAACCCCAACTTGAATCATAACCTTAGCTCCAGCCTTGGCCATCATATCCCCTCCTACAACTACTTTTCTCTCCCAAATCGGCATCCCGCCGTGACCACCAACCTGAATAGTAATCCCGGTCCTACTACTAATCCCAACCCAAGCAGCAATGCCGTTCCCCCGGTCCTCAACACATCCATGTCCACCCTCTCCAGCGTATCCAATCCTACTCACAACGCTCCTCACAACCCTCCTCACCTTTTTCCTCACCTCCCCCCTCCCGGTTCCTCTCACATCCCCTTCCCCTCTCCTGGACCCAGTCCCTCTCCCGGTTCCGGTTCCGGTTCCGGTCCCCTTCCCCTTCCCTCTCCCTCTCCCAGTCCCAGTGCCTCCTCCTTCCCCGGTTACCATACTACCGTCCCCGGTACCGTCCCCGCTTCCTTTCCCCTCCCCGGTACCGTCCCCGTCCCCGCTTCCTGTCCCCTCCCCGGCTCCCTCTCCGGCCCGCACCCCGGCCCCCTCCCCCAAAAAACCCTCCCAGGACTCATCAACCCCAACCCCAACCCCAACCGTCCCCCTCCTCCTCCCCACGTGCAGCGAAAGGGAGGTCTAGAATCCTTCCGCCTCTGTCCGCTCTTGCAGCATCTAGACGGTAGCGATCCGGAAAAGAAACATCCGAGGGAAGAATGTTGGTTGACGAGGTACAGGTGGGTTGGGATGGTGTATTCTCTTGGGAGGGGCGCAGTTGTTCAAGGTGGTCAAGGTGGTTTAGATCAGGGTGGTCAGGGTGGTCAGGGTGGAGGTGGAGGGGGAGATGGAGGGGGTGGAGGGGGAGGGGGAGTTGTTGGAGGGGGAGGGGGCGGACATGGAGGTGGAGGGGGAGGGGGAAATGGAGAGGGACATGGACATGCTGGGTTGGTACATACACATGTTGTACATGCTGGATCGGTACATGTACATGTACCTGTTACTGTACGCACAGGTACGGGAGGGATGGGAACTCAAGACCAAGGTCAAGGCCAAGGTCAAGGCCAAGGTCAAGGTCAAGGTCAAGGTAATAACCATGTTGGAACGGGGGGAGGCGCGGGAGGAATGGGAAGAGGACGAGGTACGCCACATGCTGGTCCAAGTAGCGTTGGTGGGAATGGTCGCAATGGGACAGGACAACCTGAAAATGGGGTGAACCAGAATCAGAACCAGAACCAAAACTTGTCAAATCGACACATGGGATCTGGATGGTTCAAACTATTAGAGTTCTACCTCCCAATCGGCAGTAGGGGGTCGAGACTGACCATGGGAGACATTTGTGGTTGAAGTAGTTGATAGGAGGGAGGGAGCATATCGCAAATACTTCATGTTGCGTTATGCAACTTCCTTTTTCGGCTACAGGTCAAGCACTACAGTACAGAGCAGCGCGCCTACCTCAGAATCGGGGATTAGCTAGGTACCTAGGTAGAGAATCGTACAGCCTGTTGCGTCGCCTCTACCTGAAGCATCAGGTCGGTACATATGTAGCCGAGAGCTTTAGAAAATTTTCCCAAATTCGGGATTCTGGATAACTTACCGAACTTGGGGTTAATTTACCGAACTTGGGGTTTTACGGCAGAAGGAAGGAACGGGAAGGGTTGAGGGAGAAGTGTCACTCATGGAACAGGGAAGAAAAGAGGTGCCAGCCCCAACTGGTATTGAAGGCTGGCAGATCGTGCTCAGTCAGTCCCGAAACCGAAACCGAAACCGCATATCCCAAGTGTGAATAGCAAAATGCAATAGACAACTAACCACTGTGATCCTACGAATACCTCAAAATGCTTCCCTACCTAGGTATGTTCTCCCATGTCACGAGACCTGTCTTTGTCCTGGCGTATGCTTGTTACCTTACCTAGGTACTATATATCTAGGTATGTTCTCGCTTGTTACCTTACCTACAACTCGTGTTTGCATCTCGTATTCCATGAGCTAGCAAAGTTAGTACGACTAAACACGTCTCTACTGGGGTCTCAAGCTGTTTCTTCTCCACGATCAAATGAAATGGTCCATGTATGCTTGTTGTCTACTATAGTTCTACCTCTGTTCTTGTTGCTGTAAGGTAGTGTCCAAGTGTTCCATTATCTATCCAGATCCCCTTCTTGCACCACCGGGGTGTCTCAAATTTCCATGCACGATGCTTGCCTTTCAGTTAATGCTCATGAACGCTCATTTCTTTGCCATAGCATCATGTATCCAACCCAGCCCGAACCTGCGATGAACACTCCGCTGCGCCATTTCCGTTCTTTCAAGAACAATATGAACATGATTCACCCCCTTACCCTCACCTAATTCTTCCTGCCTCCACGCTGCGACTCATTCCTCCGATCTTCTGTGATCCTCCGGCGTTCAGTGACCCTCCGGCGCTCTGTGATTCTCCGGACTTCTGTGGTCCTCCGGACTTCTGTGGTCTTCCGGCGTTCTGTGATCTCCCGGATTTCTGGACTCCTCCGGTGTTCTGTAATCCTCCGGCGTTCTGTGATCTCCCGGATTTCTGGACTCCTCCGGTGTTCTGTAATCCTCCGGCGCTCTGTGATCCTCCGGCGCTCTGTGATCCTCCGGCTTTTTGGACACCTCCAACCTTCTGTACTGGTCCAGCCTCCTGCTTAGGTTGCTGGGCACTAGCCGTTCCCATCCCCGTGTTAACCTCCGTCCTAGGCCTCTTCTCCGGTCTTGCTTCCGTTCCCGGACTCACCTTTCGCTTCTTGTTGGATCCGTTGATCCACCCACCAGCACGAGGACCAACACTGACTCCCGCCGCCTTTGCTGCCGCTTCTGCTACCGCCGCTGCTGCAGCTGCTTTTGCCCATATGTCCGCGGCCGTAGCTCCCATCTCTCTACCTCCTCCACTGCCACCGACACTCCCTCCAGCCTGTGCCTGTGCCTGAGGCTGATACAAGCCCCCACCTCCCCCATTGGCACTGGCACGGGCATGGGCACTCCCTCCAGCCTGACCCTGACCCTGACCCTGACCCTGAGCCCGACACATCCCCTCCCCCCTCTTCTTCGTCCCGCTCTGTATCCTCCCCTCCACCTCCCACTCATACTCACTCAACGGCTTCCTCTGCACCTCCCTCAAGCTAACAAACTTTTTAGGCGGTCTATTATCGGGCAGCAGACGCTGGAGTTCCAGCCGGATCCTAAATTCATCGGAGAGCAACAGGGCGAGGACGGGGTCTTTCCTGAAAACCCGCTGGAAATGCAGGTTGTGCACGAGCAGGCGGTATCGGTCGTAGTCCTCGAGGCTGATGTGGACGCCGGGGATGAGGTGGAGGGGGAAGGAGGGGATGTGGGGGACGGAGCCGGAGCCGGAGCTGGGGCTGGAGCTGGAGCCTTGGTCGGCTTGGGTTTTTTGCGGTTGGGCTGGGACGCCAGGGACGGGGGCAGAGGCAGAGGGTGGGTGCAGTTGTTGCGGTTGTAGCTGTTGTAGCAGTTCCTGAAGCAATTGTTGGTGTTGCGGTTGTTTCAGTTTTCCTTGTGATAACAGTACTAGGAGTTGTTGTAGTTGGTGCATTTGGTGCAGTTTTTGCTGTTGTTCTTGCTGTTCTTGCTGTTGAGGCTGCTCTTGCTGTTGAGGCTGCTCTTGCTGTTGAGGCTGTTCTTGATGTTCTTGCTGTTGAGGCTGTTGAGGCTGTTGAGGCTGTTCTTGATGTTCTTGCTGTTGAGGCTGTTGAGGCTGTTGAGCATGTGGATGTGGTGGTTGTTGCTGTTGCGGGTCTTGCAGTTGCTCTTTTTGTAGCGGTGTAAGCAACCCGAGTTGTTGTAGTTCGTACATTTGGTGCTGTTGTTGCTGTCGTAGCTGTTGTACCAGTTGTTGACGTTGTTGCTCTCGTAGCTGTTGTGCCGGTGTTTGTTGTTGTTGTTTCTGCTGTTGGGTATGTGCGTGTGGTGGTTGTGGTTGTGGTGGTGGTGGTGGTTGCGGGCCTTGCAGTTGTCCCCGTTGTAGCGGTGGTAGCAGCCCGAGTTGTCGCAGTTGGCGCACTTGGCGCTCATGGCACTGTTGTTGCTGCCTTAGCTGTTGTAACAGTTGTTCCTGCTGTTGGCTATACAGCAGTTGTTGGTGTTGGGTACGTTCGTGTGGTGGTTGTTGCGGTCCTGGTAGTAAGTTAGGTGGTGGTGCAGGCGGGAGGTTGGACCTCGCGGGAAGATCGGTGTTGCTTGTGCCGGTCATGGGCTTGGTATCAGCGGGGAGAATGGGTGCGCTGGCCAGAGGTGAAGAAACGGCCGGATCGTTGTTGCGTAAAGTGGTGACTGGGGTTGGATATGGAGCCGCGTTCGATGTGGCCCCGTTTGGTGTAATTTTGGTGATTGTCAAAGGCCTCGTTGATGAAGAAATCGCGGGCGTCTTGCTGGAGTTGGTGTCAGGCTTGGAGTGGGAGGAGCCGGGAACAGCAGTTGAGCGAGGGGCTGCTCCGTCCATGTTTTTGTTCGCTGGTGCGTCCATCTTTGTCTTTTCGTCTGTGAGTGGGCAGAAGCGGTTTCGACGGCCTGTGGAGTACTCACATGGATTTCAGATTGAAGGTCAGCGTGGTTCATAAAGCTAGCAGGCTGATGTGGAAGGTTAAGGAAAGGTCAAGGCGATGGTTATGTTCGAGGTTGTGGTTGACGTTGTCCGAAAGGTAAAGTTCTGGTTGATAATGGGGGCTTCTAACCCTGACGAGTAGAGGTGCTGGAAACAAGTCTGGGTCAACGGTCGGTGCCAGTTGCGACCAGGTGAAGAGAATGATGTGATGGAAAACTGAAAACTCGATGGGTGGTCGGGTTGAAGAAGGCCAAAGGCAGCTTTAGCGACGAGCGTTGCATGTGCAGATGGAGGTATACGCCCCAGGACCATGTGTTCGGGTTCTGCTTGACGAAGTAGACGCATGTACTGTGCATGTACAGGTTTTGGGTGCAGGAAGTTGACTGCAGATGGTGGCAGTTGTTTGTTGATTGAAATTTATGACTGGAGTGTTATGGGAACCTGGATTCTTACGTAGCCTTGGGCTGCTTGGCTTTCAATCTGCACAACGTGTCTAAGGCTGTACTAGATGCCCCTGTGCAGTACTGTTTCCGGCGTTGGAATAACGTAGGTAGCTAGGCCGTTGTCGGGTGGTTGAAGTTGAGGTCCGCCCTGGTCCTGTGGCAGTGAGCCCGTTGCAATCGTTCTCATGTCCAAACACTTGTGCTCTCCATGTGAACCCCAGGCCTCCCTGAAATCGCAGTGGTCACGTTCGTCAGTGCACCTGAGGATATCATGGAGGAAGGCGAGAAGCTGGTTGTTGTCCAAGTTCCAAAAATTGCTGAAGCGACCACCTGACCAGCGGAGCTCGGGGAATTGAAGTCCGTAGGCCATGCCCAATGGGGTGTATTTCAGCTCGTCATTCATGTTCCTGCACCAGAGGATGTAGAGGATTTTGTTGTTGTCCAAGCCGTAGCATAGCGGGCAGTAAATGAAATATACAATGCACATGCTGGACTGGCCGGAGGGTCACAGACCCGAAGGGGCTTTGTCGTTGCCAAGGTTCTGCTCTCTGGATTCGAAGTTTTGATATTGGTGTGGTAAAGCAACCGACGGTATTTAGCAAAATAATTTCCGGTTATGCAAACGGGGTGTAGCTGGATGAAGGACAGCCAAACAAAATGATGATTGATGGGATGATGGTTGGTTGTGGATGATCAAATGCACGAGAGTGTTGCAGTCACCTCAGCTTTAAACAACTCTCAACCTGCTGCCAGTGAGCCCAATTCAACTACCCCTTCCGCTTCCAACATTCCCGCCGGTGCCGCCTTCCTTTCCATTCGGACTCTTGCCCGATGTAGTAGGCGCTGTTTCCTCGCGCTCGGTAGTACTCTCCTCGCCTCCGTGTCCACCATTATTAGAGGTAGTGGCTTCCGCACTACTCTCTCTCCACTCCCTAGCCCTGGCCGCAGCCATCATGCGTTCCCGGACCCAGCTCCAAGAGGTTGTGTATCTCGATCTCGCTGTCGGTAGGTCCTCGACGGCAAATGGCAAAATTGAACCAGAGTAATGCCAATCCCTCGTGCGTTCGATCTCGATGTTGTCGTAGTACGGGCATCGGTGGGCGAGTTGGACGTGGCTGAGGATGTATTCGTGGGTTGAGTCTCGGTCGAAAGCGGTTCGGTCTTTGTCAGTTCCTTGGACGTCGGGAAATTGGGCGGCGCACCAGTTGATGTTGATGAGATGGCAACATTGACGGTTATCTACGATCCTGCGACGGGAAATCCAAGGTGAGAGGACGTACTTGAGTTGGCACATCGGTACTGAGGTTGGAGTTGAGTTTTTAGGTGTCGTGGATTTGTCTGCTGACGAGTTCTGATCGTAGAGTAAGTTGCGGGTGAGGGCGTCACGGGTGCCGAAGGGTCGAAGGGTTTTAAGGAGAGGAATGGCTATTGGTGATTCACCTGGCGACGGATCATTATGGGTGACTTCAACGGTTGAATAGGGGCGAGTTTGTTGTCGCAATCAAGGTGAAGGAAAGGAGTTGAACATGGTCGGAAGTCTTGATGTCACTTCACTTGCATCTCCAAGGTTTGGTCCGAGAAAGGATGGCCCGTCCGATGTAGCTGATGCACAGAAGGTCGGCCATTCTTCTAGACTTGTGGCAGGGACTGACAGCACACCTTGAGATGACCGTGGTCCTGGGAAAGGGGGTGTAGTGTCGAAGGATGGGGCCAACACGGCGTAGACACTCGTCGACTTTGCCCCATCAACAGTGCTTGTGGACGGGAAAGCCAATCTGGAATATAGGAAAATGACCCTTAAGCCCCATTCCAATGTGAGTTCAACGTCAGAACGTACTCATCTGACTGACTCCTCGTTGACATTGTGAGCAATGCCAGGTCAACGCTGCGTTGACACTCGTCGATGTTCGATCGCCAACGAGTTTGATGAAGAACAAAATTGGGGGAAATGGCTGACATGTGATCTCTTTGAGCTTTACACCGCCCCTGACATTCATATCTCCGACATGACATGAGCATGTCGGTGATTTCCTGTTCACTCCTGTTGACATTGCGCCATCAACTCCGAGCCAAGCATCACCAACAACCCTAACCCTTGCGCTTCGCGGATCCGAGGGTCCTCCTGTGCGTCATCAGCCAAGACCCTCTTCTGCCCCGCGCTTCCCTCTCGCCTCCTCCCGAGTCATGTCGTCGCGGTTGAAGCTTCCCAACCACATCACTTCTCTCCGAAAGCAACCTCAACTCAACTTTTCAAACCTCCTGAAAAACCCAATTCAAGTCACTTGACTTGACCAACAACAAATCTCTTAGAAGCCGATGCGGAATATCCTCACCCGAATCCGATACCCCGCACTCACCTCACTCGCATCCGCATCACGCACTCGCGCTCTTGCCAGCAGCAACAACAACAACCTGTTCAACCTCAACCGCGACCTCAACACCAAGTTAAACCTCACCACCAACCAAACCCCCGTCCAAAGACGCCCCATCTCCAAAATGACCATCCAAAAAACCCAAGAACCCGCCATCACCTCCATCACCGAGCTGACCCCTCAAAATGCCAAATGGCTCACCCTCCAACAAATCCACTACGTCGACCAAACCGGCAAATCGCGCCTCTGGGAGGTCTGCGCGCGCAAGACGCGCTCCTCCGATCCTACCCCCGTCGGTTCGCACGGAATCGACGCAGTAGCCATGTGCAACATCCTTTTGCACCCGTCCCGCCCGCCCGCCACCGTCCTGGTAATCCAATACCGGCCCCCCTTGGACGCCTACACGATCGAGTGGCCTGCCGGTCTAATCGACGCGGGGGAAACGCCCGAGGAGGCCGCGGTGCGGGAGTTCAGGGAGGAGGTCGGGTATGAGTGTGTGGTCAAGTCTGTGAGTCCCGTGGAGGCGGCGGATCCGGGGCTGAGTAATACGACGATGGTGATGGCTACTGTTGAGGTGCAACTCAAAGAGGAGGAGAAGGAGGGGGAGTTGCCTGACCAAAGGCTGGATGAGGGGGAGCATATCCAGAGGGTGGTGGTGCCGATGGCGGAGCTGTATGAGAGGTTGGTGGAGTATAGTAAGAAGGAACGGCATATTGTGGCGGCGAAGTTGTTTCATTTTGCGCAGGGGATGCATTTTGCGACGACGGAGAGGTATGGTGTTTTTGGTGAGAAGAAGGAGTAGGCTGCGCGGGACGGAGAGGCACGGGCATGATAGAGGTACCCCTCTGAGTCGAGGGTGAGCCTTTCGGGACCGGAATGAAGGGGTTAGTTAGGTGTAAAAGGTGTATGATGACTATGATGTTGTGTTTACCAAGACGTTTGATAGACGGCGATGAGTTTGGAGCTGGTGTTCTATCAGACGGTCGTGTAGAGTAGAGAGATTGATGACTGTCTGTGCACGGCTTGAGAATGTCATTGTTGGTTCCTTTGATCTTGCAAACGGCCCGTCCCGTTGAGAATAATGATGTGCCTTGCTCACTTGAGTGCGGCCCAATGATGACCCCATATCAGACACAAAGAATGAAGCCAAGCATATTGGCAATGAAAGATGTATGAAAGGTATGGATAACCACGTGTCGTGGCACGACGATTGTCGCAAGGAATTACGCGATTACCGTGACATGAACAAGGGGGAGATCTCCAGTGCAGCTCAAGTTTCAAGTCAAAGAGGTTCCAATGCCAATGGGCATCTTGATCATCGTCAATGACTGGCTTCGTTGTCAATTGTCAAGCAAAGCACACAGTGACGCAATGCTTTGAGGTTGTGTCTTTCGTGAATTGTGACCCAAACGGCCGTCGACGTGCAGTGGGACGTGGGAAAATTGCGGGGACCTGCAGCTGGATGCAAGGCGGGGCGGGGCGGCCGGGGGAGCACGGGGAGCCAAGGGGGGGGATCCGATGCTGCTCTCCCGGGTTTGCATATCGTGATGAGTACGTACTACACATCTGATTGATACGATGATAGGCATTGAGGGCTTTGTCCTCCGTGAGGAGTCACAGAGGAATAAATAGTAACAAGTCGGAAGAACATCAATGGTTCCATTGCCAGGATGAAGACGACACCGCCGTGCTGTCGTGAGGCGGTAAACAGCTGAAGGCTGAGGGACATTCCAGAGTGGATGATTTGGCAAAAAGTGGATGATAGTATCAGCCCAAAAAGGGGCTACGTTTAATCGTGGCGGAATGCGGATGGATGGTTGCCTTGCATTTTAAACTAAAACAATACGTAAGGCTGATGATGATGATGATGATGATGAGGCATGATGCGGTGTTCATCTCATCACCATCCCAAACATGGTAGTAAGTCCAAGTCCGAGCGGTAATAGAAACCCCTTGATGAGGATCTGAGTCCAGTCTCTTGGATAAAAAAGAAGAACAGAGACAGGTACCCGTAGACCGTAGTGGCGGTGACCCACTTGGTTTAGCTTTGAGAGTAGTCTAGAGGGGGACTAGCACTCTGGAGATATGGAGAGTGGTAAGTGAAATATCGAATGTGATTCAAATGTGATTGACAGAAAGAGAATGAAAGGAGGCTTTGAACATGCATCAACTGTTTTGTCATGACCAAACAAGGCCAATGCCACTCTTTCCACGTCTTTCCATTAAAGGTCAATGAATGTTTCAACGTTTCATGCGGGAAGCCATGGGAGGCAGTCAAGTGGACAAGAGCGAACAAGAGAACCAAAAGAGAAAGACCATCTGCACTGATGCACCTCCCGCTGCAAGGATTGACGAGGTGCGCACGGGTGCCATGGTGCCCATGAACCCGCTGACTCCACTCATGGCCATCCATATCCACGCTGTTAGTGCGCGCAATGCGACGGTTGGCCGGCAGAGACTGTTCGGTTCACATCTGTTAGCTTTTCTATGTGTCCCTCCACGGTAGTGGTAACAAACCCGAAGAACTGGGGGAGTGGGCTCGACCTGGGGGAACAGGCGCCCCCGTCCTCAGGTCTGCCATCTTTCCCACCGACACCGCCCGACCGACTCGGACGACATTCCTGCTTCATTCCCTTCTCTGGTTCCTCTTGTCCTGCAACAACACTTCAGTCCCATACCAACCGACGACGACCATCACGACACCCGAGACCGACGGCGTCGTGTAATCTAGGTGGGTTTCGACTTTGCGACTGTCGCAGTCTGCCTTTCCTACAACAAGCACTACGCCCACAGCAGCATAACAGCCATTGCAACCGGCTCAACTGGCAGCCAACCAACCGCTGCAGCCAAAAGAAGCAAACCAGCCCCCCGACAAGTCCTGCGTTTTCGACCACCTTCCCGTCAGCTTGCGACGCCAACAATCAATCAAAACAGGAGAGGCCCCGTCGCCTTTTCTCCCCCCGATCTCACCTCCGCCCGGTCGCGCAGGTCCTTTCCTGGCCTCTGTCCCAGTACTCCAAACGACGACGTCGGCGACAAGGCCTTTTTTCCTGCGTGGTTCGAGGCTCCTCCTGCTGTCGGGTAATGCGTCACCCTCATCCTCCATCGCCATGACCCAAACTGCTTCTACCGAGAACACCTCCATCTAACGCTGGGAAGTAAAGAAAGACGCCAAGGAACCGACGACAACCATTGATCATAATTCCATTTTTCACGCGATACTCGGCTTCAACTCTGCGATATACCCTCATTTCTACGTCACGCACGCCTGCATTTCCTTGCATTCACCTTTTCGCATCACGCATATCGCATCTCGATTTCCTTCACGACAGCGACGACCGACGAGTTTTTTTTTTCCTTTGTTTACAATACTACAACAAGCACCAAATCAACACCAGAATCATCACATGAAAGCCTGCAGACCACCATACCACATCGTACGACGATAGAACTTGCGAAATGGCGGCCGACGTCCCGGGATCACCGCTCGCCAAAAATGCCACGGCCGAGGAGGCCCTGGCCTGGTACAAGTCTCAGTACGAAGAGCTTGAGCAGGAACTCAAGGAATTCCAACAGTCGTCCAAGGAACTCGAGGCCGAGCTGGAAAAGGACTTGGACGCCGCCGATAAGAGAGAGCGCGCCCTACAGCAAAAGGCCGAGGGTTTATCCTACGAGGTAGAGGAGTGGAAGGTATGTTTGGCTCTCGTTAGGCTCCCATGATGATGATCCCATCCTGTGACTGTGATGGATGTGACCCCCAACACACCCTTCATTTCAATTAGCGCCACACCCGGCAAATACCCCCACCACCCATCTTGTCAGATGAACATCTGCTGACCCGTTTCTTCGGTACAGAGAAAATACAAAGAATCAAAATCAGAGGCAAATGCTGCGCAAAGTGCGCTTGAGAAGGAAATCACGGCTCTGCGCGAGACCAACAGAACCCTTCAACTAAAGCTACGCGATATCGAAGTGGCCAACGATGACTTTGAGCGCCAAGCCCGAAACACGTCTTCCTCACTTGAGGACCTCGAATCCAAGTACAATGTCGCCATCGAGCGCGCCGTCATGATGGAGGAGGAAATCAAGATTGGGGAACAAGAAAGAGAACGGCTACGCGTCGAAGCCCAGCGATTGCGCGAAGAATTGTCCGACCTCAAGATTGAAGCCGAGATCCTGCAGTCCAAGCTTAGGAAGCACCAAGCCCGCGGACATCTCACCCAGATTACCACCACGATTGCCCCCGCGCCCGCTTCACCGCTGTCGACCGCCAGCTCGCCCTTGGTTACAACTCCACCCGATACCAAGTCCCTGTCCACGATCGACACCTTGTCCGAAGTGCAAGATCCACCATCGCCGCCCATGTCGGACGCCTCGCTGGGCAAGGGTCTTAGGGCATCTAGGAGCACCCCCGTCAAGCAGACGGCGTCTAGGCCAGGAGGGTGCAGGACACCCAAGACATCCATCTCCAAGTCAGCGGCGGCCAAGTCGTCAGCACAGGCAACCCACAAGGCCAACCGGTCCATCAGCGAGAACAACATCACGCCGAAGCCGAAGCCGCTCAGCTCGTCGACTTCCTCGCAAACGAACCGTCCTTCCAACGGCCGCTTCAACAACAACAGCTATCCTATGGTGCGCACGCCCTCGTCGAGGCCCTCTGCCGCTAGAGCCGCTGAGAGGCCACGGGCGCCGGTGCACAGGATTCCTCCGTCCAACTCTCTCACCCATATCCGAACCCTTACCGCGCAGATGCAGAAACTCGAAGCCCGTGTCCACTCTGCTCGCTCCAAGCTTCCGGCTGGTCCAGCGCAGACGCCACCTAAGCAGTCGCCGCGCTTCAACGGAGGCATTGGAGGTATTGCCGCCACGGTAGCCATGCGCGGGAAGAAGCAGCGAGGAGCTGGGGCCTCTACGCCCAACCTGCTAGAAGACGACAACGCGTCCGACATTTCCAACACGCACAGCAACCCCGACTTTCGCAGTAGCACCTTGAATCTCAGCAAGCACATCCCCCGACTTAGCACGTCAGGAGTGTCTCGTATAGCCTTCGGTCCCCTACCAATCCGCCACCCCGCCTCCGCCTCAACAACATCGACAAGCACAGCAACCGCCACAAACGTTGACTCGGAAGTCTCGCGGCCCAGCAGCCGAGCTAGTTCCTCGAGCTACGCCCGTCCGATCAGCCGAGCCGAGTCCCACTCCACAGCAGCGTCAGGGTACATGCCCTCGTCTTCCTCGCGACCTATCAGCCGGACCAGTCTACCTGGACATGGGACACGAACTCCCGTAGGCTCGTGGCCACGCAGCTCGGGGACACTGAGTACATATGGCCACGGCCCCGCCCACAGCCAAGCGAGCATCAGCTATAGCACAGCGGAGGAGGACGAGCTTACGGATGATGGGCAGCGGGAGTTGAGGCCAAAGACGACGCCCGCGAGGAGGAGGACAGGGACACTGAGTGCACGCGACGCCCCTGATCATCATCATACTGGTATTCCGATACCAGGAAGTGGAGGGAACAGGAGGCAGAGTGGCAGCTCGAGCGCGAGTAGGTCAAGTGTTACGGGTAGCTTGAGTCTGAGGAGGCCGAGTAATGCGGCGGCTCTAGGGCATGGGCATGGACATAGCGCGGGGTACGGACATGGACACGGATCGGTGGGAGGGAGCACGACAGTGAGAAAGGTGGTGGATTTGGGGGAGACTTATTGAGGGTTATGAGGAAGTAAGAAACGGAATTTTTGGGAGGGGAGGAGCGGAGGAAACATGGATATCGATGATATGGATATGGCATGCATATGGATATTGCTTGGAAGGGCAGAGATGAGAGGTGTGGGAGGAGGAGAGAGGAGCCAAGAGGACGAGAATGAGCAAAGAAGAAAGATGAGAGAATGGGAATTCTGATGGACAGGAAGGAGTACGGACTACTGGCTTGCTTGGTTGGCTTGCGGTTTGGCTGGTTTCAATCTCGCCTTCCCCTTCTACTCTACTCTTCTGATTTTCTCAACTTCCTGCTTGCTGCGCGACGCGCAAGAACGGCACTCTACAATAACATACAACAGTTACTACATCTTTTTAGTTTTGCTAGGTGGCTACTATCGAATTACCTACCCCACCACATTACAGCCTTTTTCAGTTTTTTTTTTTTTTAGGGCACACGTTTCTTTGGAAGGCAGATATATCGTTTCGTCAATGGAAGAATATCTGACACACACACACAGCCCTCCCTTTCTATGCACACACAACCTTTGGGACGAGAGTGACGATGATGGATGGATGCCCGTGGTGATGGAGGAGGGAGCTTGTGGTCTTTCTTTGCCTTCATATTGCTTGCTGTATTGCCTATCGATTGACTCTTTCGATTCTGTTCGTATGGCAGGCAGCTTGAGACTGTCGTCAACTTTGATCATCCATTTTCTACCTGCTTTTTTGCTGTTTTGCTGTTTGTTGTATGAATGGAGAAGAGCGATAGAAGTAGCCAAGACACAAGGTTGAGACCTACAGAAAATACCACATCAAGATGAGCTAACAGCATGACAACAGGTGTGAGCGTTTGGAGTCTATGAAGCAAGCGTATTCCTAAAGCTACCAACGTCTCGTCTCGTTGGACACCAGAGTTTTGACAATTAATGCAGCCCATCTCAGCCTAGCGTAGGTAATCCGGTCTCAATCATCGGGTACCAAGCCCGGGTCCCAACTCAATCCCCCCTTTCCTGCGTTCCAGGATTCCAGCCCTTTCCGCCGACTCTCACCAACCAACCTATCCCTTACCTCAGCTCCCCTCTTCCCCGTTCGTTTAATGCACTTGCCTTCTCTCACATCCAACGCTGACTTGTCCCTTGGTCATATCACTCGAAAATTCCCATGTTTAAGAATCTTAAGAACCTCCCATACATTCATTCTTCCTCGACCGTACCCATCCATGTTCGTAACCGCTACTTACCTCCACTTACTTACCTCTATGATTTATCCAATGGACTAGCGCCCGGCGGCGTCGGCGCAGGCGGTCCAGGCGGTACACTCGGCGATACGCTCGGCCCAACCTGAAGATACGAACTAGTTGTACCTATAGGACTCCCTCTAGATGGCGGGGTGGGAGCACCTCCAGGGTAAGTAAACCGCGACGGACTTGGTTCCCTGAGAGTCGAAGTCGAGGGAGGGATGTAAATACCCGGGGAAGAGGTATGCGAAGGGGGGGTGGGCGCTGTGTAGTTGTAGAGGGGGTAGTCTGGGTGGAGGCAGGTTGTTGTGTTGTTACTTGTGGTTGTGGTGCTGGGTGTTGAGGATGCGGTGGAAGTGGATGGGGTTAGATAGCTGGGGAGGGGGGTGGAAGATGAGGTGCTTGTGCTTGTGCTGGTGCTGGTGCTAGGGGCGAGGTAAGAGCTGGTGCTGGGAGCCAAATAACTAGAAGTACTCGGGGTGCTCGCCCCCAAATAAGAACTCGGCGTGTTTCCACCGCCCAAATAGTTCGATGTGCTCGTGCTCGCCCCCGAAGCCGGATACAAACTCGACCCTGACCCGCTCGACCCATACGTGCTCGACCCTCCATACGAACTACTACTCCCCGCCAAATACCCCGACGAACTCGCGACCGGAGAATAAGAGCTAGTCATAGTAGCGGTAGGGAAGTAAGGCGAGTAAGGTGTGTAAGCCGAGCTACTGCTTGCGGGTGTAGTGGAGGAAGTGCTGGGCCCGGTGAAAATGGAAGTGGAAGTGGAAGTGGAAGTGGACGTATAAGGAGTGGAATACCCGATAGTACTAGTGCTAGGGGCTGCAGAGCGAATAGAGCGGGAAGGGGAGTAGGGGATGGTGGAGGCGGAACTGCTGGTGGTGGTGCTGCTGCTGCTGGAGGATAGGTAGGAGGAGGAGAGGGGGGAGGATGATGGCTTTTTTGGGGAGGACATTGTTGGGGTGGTGGAAGGGAAAGGTAGGTGATGAAATTTCGGGATTTGTTTTGAAGTTGAGGGCTAGCTAGGGGCATGCGTGGGTGACTGTGCTGTGGTGGAGGGTAGGTGATGAATTTTGGTTTAGTTTTCCAAGTTGAGGGGGGACTGGTTGGGTAGTATGTCTTGTTTGAAACCTTGATGGGAGACGAATGTTGAGTGCGAGATGTGTTTGTAGGACTGGGCCGAGAGTCTCCTTCTTTTAACCATTTGTCCACGAAGGGGAGATCGTACTTGAGAAGGAGCCATTTGGCAATGTCAAGACTATGGCTCGTCATGGTGTGTTGATCTCTTGATGACACACTCACTCCCCCATGTTTGCCCCCAAGTCAGTCAAGTGCACCCAGGAAACCGCAAGATGAAGAAAGGCCACCGAGACCGGACCAACCAAGTTAAACCAAGACATTCTGGGTATAAACACTATCTGTGAGGAACTATCGATCTATGTAAACAGAAAAATCATCTCATGTACACACTTCGGGTCGGGGTAGGGCCATATCTCTAGTAGATGATGCGCCCATCCACCACCCCAGACCCCATCATCCTCCAGCGCTGGAGCCGGACCCGTCATCATCAACATTATCCAAAATGCAAGCCATAACCATGTAACCAATTTGTTTCGTTCGTTCATCGCTTTTCCCAACCGTCCGTAATAAGTAACCCATAAGATCATGCCTAAGGAAAATCCAAAACATCGTGATGAGCCATGAAAGACACCTGCGTGTTTGTCCATCATTCCCATGGAGACGGGAAGTTTCCTTTTCCTCTGCTTTTTGTTTTGTCACAGCTTTCTGTCGGTCGAACTGTTGAGACCTTTCTGTTCCGTTGGCGTCCTTCGCACCTTTCACACACCTTTCACGCCTCTCCTTTCTCTTCCCAGGTGTCGCATCCTTCGAACTGCTTGCTGCACCCATCACACTTCTTCTCCGGCGTCCTCTACAATAACATCCATGTCCTCCACGTTCTCTACCTCTAGGGGGGCCTACCATCTCAGCCTCAGGTTGCTACAACTACCTTTACCTAAGTAAGCAAGGTAGTTGCGCTTCCGCCAGCTTCAACAGGAGTCCCATCAGTATCACAGACAGGCCTGCTACCCCCCTAGAACCACACTCCCTACCAGCGAATCTTGACCACCCACGAACACCGCCCATAAGCCCTCTTGCACCAATCGCCCACCCAAAACGCGAGGTTGAACAACTTCTGCGGCACCACCGCCGCCGCCTTGGCCCCCGTCTGGCCCAAATACTTCGCATACCCCCCCTTCCCGCTCTTCGGCTCCGGTAGCCTGCGCGCAGCCCGACTTGCCTCCCTTTCTCTCCTTTCTTTATCCTCTTTCTCCTCTCGGCGCTTCATCTCCCGCGCCTCGCGGTGTCTGTTACCCGTTGTCGTAGACGTCGTAGCGGTGGTCGTCGTCGTCGCGCTCGTGGTACTCGTCGTCATGGTATTCGACCGATCTCTCATCCCGCGCCGGCCGCGCGGCCGCACCGTTTCTTGGTCCGAGTCCTCGGAGTCGTCGTTGAGTTGGCCTCTTTGCATCGCCAGCTCGAGCGGGTGCACGGGCCGTTCCATGTCGGGCTTCTTGCCGAGCGATTCGCGCGTGTAGTGCGGCGCTTTGGGCTCGACGAGGGTTTCGGTTGAGGAGCGCCGGGAGAGTGAAGGGGAGGGCGGCGCGCGCGAGTGGGGGTTGACGTCCGGGTAGAGGTCTTCGACGTCGTCGGAGTTGGGGTCGACGAGGGTTGCTTGGGACGGGTTGATGCCGAGACCGGGGAAGGGCTCGGTTTGGCGCCGGTGGTGGGCGACGGCGCGGAAGGCGGCCGGCCAGAGGAAGTCGGCGGGGGAGGGGGCGATGGGCGTTCGTGGGGAGAGGGGAGAGAGTGGCATGCGGGGGGATACTGGGGAGAGGGGGAAGCGTTGGGAAAGTGGTGAGAGGGGGAAGCGTTGCGACAGTGGTGAGAGGGGCATGCGAGGGAGGTCGGGGAAGCGGGGGGTCTGTTGCATTTCGGGGCTCGGTTCATGCGGGCGTGGAGGAGGGGTCGGTGCCAGCTCTGGCTCGGGTTCGGGCTGCTGGGGCAAAATCGGCGAGATGGTTCCGGTCGGGCTAGGAGGCGTCGAGTTCGGTAGTTCGACAAACGATGCCGTGGGGAGGAAGAAAATCTCATCCGGTGCCGAAGGTGGAGGGGTGTCCGGCAATGTCTGATGGTGCATCACCGGCGTCTTCGCCCTCCCGTAATCCTCATCGACGATCTCGCCCATACTCGGCTGAGTACTGAGCATCGAGCTCTCCCGGGGGATCGGCGGCAACGGTTTATCCTCAATCGCGTCGTCCAACAAGGTGTCTCCGGACCCTGCTCTTCGTAGCGGCTTCCTTAGGATGATCTGCTCGCCCCGATCCCTCCTCGCCGGCATGATGACCGATCGCCCATCGTCATCGCTATCGTCATCATAATCGTCATCATCCTCGCTCCCATAATCATCACTATCCTCATCGAAATCATCCCCTCCCTCTCCATTCGGCCTCCTCGACTTTCTCCTCCTCCACCCCTTAGTCTTATGCACGCCCTTCAGCACTCTATGCGTCTTGCGCATAATCATGCCCAACTTCTTGCCCACCTCGTTTGTCGCGGGGCCCTTGGCGTATGGCTCCAACCATTCCAGCAGCGTCGCCTCCTCATCCTTCGCTCGGCCAGGACACTCCAACACCAGATTCTTCATGCCGGCGCCGTGCAGCACAACCGACGGGACCTTGCTACCCTTATCGGCCCCGTTCTTGACGAAAAAGTTGGTAATCCACAACACCGCCCTCACCTTCTGATTCGGCAAAAGCTCTGTCAAGTTCTTCTTCCTCAGCGCCGGATGCACCAACACCAGAATCGCCTGGCTCGTCAGCTCCCACGCGTTCCTATGCGCCGACAGCTTGCCGCTTCCCATCGAAAAAGTAAACTCGCACATCGGGTTCGCGCCAAACTCCAGCAACGTCCGACACACCCTCGCATGCGGCTTGGTCCAGGGCACAATACAAAAGTTGCTGCTAGCCGCCGTGAGCTGCGCCCAAAGGAACAGTAACCTGGTAGCAGTGTGCGCGACCTTTGGTGGGACGTACGTCTGCTTCCCACCCTTGATCTTGTCGATCTTATTGATGAGCGTCTTGCGGGTGGATTTACGCTTCATGGTCGCTTCGATTCCCTCTTCGGCTTCCTTTAGGCGGTGTAAACAGGTGCGCAGGTATGTGGGCAAGGAGTACATGATTGCTACTACCAAGAAACCGAGATCGATCTCGCCGAGGAGGCGCTGGTTCTCTTCGTCGAGGGATGTGGACGTGGACGTGGGGTCATTGTTGACGTAAAGCGAAGGGTAGCAGAACTGGTTGAACTCGGCTTGGACGCGGGCCATGTCGACGTCTTTCGGGCCCGTCCAGAACCAGAAGGCTTTTTGTGCCCAGTGGTGAAGGCGATGGATGTCGGACGAGGAGTTGTAGGGAGTGGTGGAGGAGAGCGCGGCAAACCAGTGCCGACTCATGGCCTGGTCGAGCCGGTCTAGGTAGCCGTCGAAGACGGGCCGTTTCTTGTACTCGGCTATGCGCGCGTACTCGAGACAGGTGCGCATGCTGTCCCACACGACGTCGCCGTCGAAGCGGGTAGTGGTGGGCATGACTCTGGCCAGGGTCAGGCAGGATCGGACGAGGTAGGCTTGCGGGTTGAAGTCGGAGCTCAAGGTGCCATAAAGGAAGTCGATAGCAATTTGGGACTCGCGGAGAAAGTCGACGGCGGTGCGGTGGGTGAAGTCGATATATGGCTTGTGAGTCTTGTCGTCCTTGCGCGTGTGTACTTCCAACAGCCCCAGGCAGCGACTGCTCACTCTCGCTTCGATGTCTCGAACTCTCACCTCTTCCAGATCCCAGGTCAGAGATCCTTCCGGGATCAACTTGACCTCATCCCATACCCCTTCGGCCAACGACAACTGGATCGCGAGGACTGGGTGCTCTCGGATTTGCTGCTCAATGTCGATGCTCGCCATGACGATCCGGAACAGCTTGGCCGCGTTCTTTTTGTAATCTGGCGGTATCTTCTTCAGCATATGCCCATAAAGCTTCTCGATATCGCTCGGCAGCTGATCCAGCCTCTTCCGCATCTCCTTCAGGTTATCATGATGATTCTGCAACCCTTTCTGCAGCGACCGTATTACTAGCGCCACCCACAAAAACACACCCTCGGCGCGCTTGACAATCTCGTTCACCAGCCTAAACCAGTCCTCGCCGCCCTTATCGCGCAGCTGCTCGCCCAGCATCGCCTCCGTGTACCGTCGGATATCATCCTCCGTCAGGTCCTGTAACCTCAGACTCGGACAAGACCCAAACGCCTTGGCGCACGCTTGCATCGGCCTGCTCGATACCAGGTACTTGACCCGATCTCCTCTGGTGTTGCGAATCAAGTGGATCAGCTCCTCTGGATCGCCTTGGAACTCATCAATCCCGTCGATGGCGATAAACAGGCGAAAATTTCCGACATTCGTCGCCGTGGCGTGCAGCAACCGCTCGAACCACATCCTCAGCTCCGAACCCGATGGAGTTTCCAGTTGGCCGTTGCGGCTCTTGGCGGCTTCAAGACACATCTCCGGCATGATGGTTGCTATCAGATCCGGCCTGGCACAGAGCACTTGATAGAGAAGCGACCGCATAAGGCCGGAAATGAGCCGCTGGTCGTCTGTCCCTAAATGCCAGGAGAAGAAGTTGGCGTAGATCAAGTCGTCGGATGGCCCCGCCCATCGTTGCAGGTGTTGTTGGAGGCGGCGGTCGCTGACAATGTACTTCATCAGAGTAGACTTCCCCGAGCCGGCTTTGCCTTTGATCCAGTAGCACTTGTCCTTTTCGTCTTTGCTTTCGAGGAAGGCTGACAGATTCGACCAGGGCCTGCAAATGTTGTCGAAGGTGCTGGGGTTGTTGAGGTGGGAAAACACCCAGGAAAAGGTGCTTTCGTACGGGGTCTTGACGGACTCGAACCGGTCGGTGATTTGTCGGAAGTGAAGCATGTCCAGGACGGCTTTGCTGATGGTCGCGAAGTCCTTTGTGGGGACGTGTTCCATTTCTGCTCCTGCTGGTTGACCCATGAGCCCGGGGTCGGATGAGAGGCGCAATACGGTGTCGAATTTGGCGTCCTCGAAGGATCCCGATTCCGATCCCTTGTTGAAATGCCCGAGTTGCTGGTGACTGCCGCTGCCATTTACCCCCATGGCCTTTGCGCGAGGATAGATGAACCTCGTCTCACCACTAGCCAGTGTGATCATAGCAGCTACAATCACTGGGTTCGGACCACCACCCTGCTTTGCCTCGGCCGCCGTTCTTGCATGCTGATCAAAGATTGGTGTGCTACTCCCCGACTTGATCCCTCTCTGGTTGAAGGCTACAATCTTGACGATGTTCTCGTTTATGCGGTGGATGTCTTGCCGTAACTGGACAATCTCCTCTCGTTGCTGGGCTAGGTCATAGTGGTGCTGCATGCCGTAATGGTCCACTTTGGCGTTTACCATGGCGAGGACATGGATACCCAAGTCACGCTTGAAGCCATCCAGCTTCTCCTTGAACTTGTCGAGTTCGCCTTCCGTCCTGACTGAGCCGATTGCCTCCGCTAGGGTGTTCCACCCGTAGCGGTTTGGGTCGCACTGTAATTGGTTTAGGAAGTCCTCAGCCATGTCCGTGGCTTGGTCGAGGAGAGAGTTGATGGCCTTGTTCAGGTGTCAGCAAAGAGGAGGGTGTCTGCTCATACGACGAAGGGGCACTGACCTCTTCATGCTGTATTAGGATACTTTCTGTTTCGGATGCGTTGTGAAGCCTTGGCGTGGATTTCAAGACGCGATTTACGTTGGTGAGATCGTTGAGTGCCGCTTCGAACGATTTAGATACGGCCCGAGCATTGTTGCCATTCAGGCTGCCGTTGCGGAGCCTTTTGTACTCCCCGTACACGGTAGATCCAAAGTCGATGAACTGAAGGACGGCCGATGCCAGACCTAGGGCGGTGAAAGGGTCGATCATATTGAAGATAGTTGAAGAGGGGGGCGAAGAAGGTGAGTGAGATTGAACAAGGTGAAGGTGAAGAAGAGAGACTGAGGAGAGCTTATCGTCAACTCGGGACTCTTAAGCGGGGTCGTCACTCGTCAGTCGGTCGGTCGTATGAAAAGTGACAGGCCTGGAAAAGAAACTATGAGGGTATCATGCAAAACACATCAGCAGCAGCAGAGCAGCGGCACTGCCTAAGAAGAGAGGTCAACAACGGACGACGACGACGACGAGATGAGGTTGAACTGGAGCGTGGTGAGCCTCATCTGGTGGAGCCATCCATCCGCCGTAGTAGTGTAGGGGGCCAGGCACAGCTGACGGAGCGCTACGTAGGGACTGGATCGGTATTGTGTATGTATGGCTCAACGTTGTCGTGAGTCGTGGTGTGGACTGATTCCTTCTGTATTGATGAAACTGAAAAAAAGGTACAACACCAGGGGCAGGCAGGCAGAGACCAGGCAAAGGAGACCAGACAGAGAGAAGACTGAATGGAATGGCCTTTCTAAAGATCCGGTGGCCGAAAACCCGCCCACTTCCACGGCCACCACACTGCCGCCCTCTCTCTCTCACCTCTCGCAGCGCTTCCTCGTTGCCTTCTGACCTCTCGTGAGGCCCAGCTAACGACCCGGCCAAAACTGTGCCCAGCTGCCCAACACGTGTATCCAGCATGTTATCGGCGCTTGTGATTGGTGGTTGGCGGGCGACGGCGGGCTAATCGGTGCGCGTTCTGCAGCGAGTGCAGCGCCCACATGCGCGATATCAGGTAAAATTGGTAAAGATCCGGCATTTATGCGCCTCTGGCACTGGCGCCGGAGACTAGCACCGTAAATGGTGGAGCTTCACGGAATCGTATAAGAATCTTCAATTCATCCCTCACTTTCTCGACCCCTCTCCTTGGCCTGGTCGTCGCGAGGGCCTGCAGCTCAGGGGCATCTTTGACTGGACAATCGAATTTTACTGGAAGACGAGCGAGCGAACGAACCAGGTCACTGGTGAGGGCCAGACCAGAATGGAGACAGCCAGGGCTGCTGTCAAGCTTCAACGGAAAAATGCGCGCCACAACTCCAGTTTTTTGCCTCCTGGGTTCGCTCCGGGTGTGGCTGCGATGAATGAATGGCTGAGCTCGCTGGCCGTTGGAGCCACGAAAAGGGCCTTTTGCCAATTGTCCACCACACCTCCGAAACCGTAAGCTTGCATGCATCAGCATCATCGTGAAACAAGTACAACGAGATGGCTCCTTTCCTTTTCGCTTTCGGACGTCTGGATCGCGCATTCAGGGGCTTCTGGACCCATTGAGATGATGCTAATTTGGACGGGCAGGACGGCGGTCAGTTTGATCCTCTGCAAGACCAGCATGGCGATATCATGAAGTCGACGACTCCCCCAAAATCAGGAACTTGCAGCCAAATGGACTTGACGTGCGTATTCGGTCATGCAACAAGTCCTTCTTGGCCCGCTGGTTGATGTCATATGTCTTTACTGCGATTCGGTCTAGGATGGCGAGCGACTTGGAGCTTAAGCCTTCCAGCCGGTGGCAGAAGTCCTTGACGCCCTTCAATGCCACTAACTTTTCGACCGCTGCCCATTTGGTTCAAAGGGCGATGGGTTTCTTCGGCCTCATCTTCTCTCTCTCTCTCTCTCTCTTGGAGGCTTTATAATCTCATGCGCTGAGCGTTCTTGCCACTGGTATCGGTATCAACCCAATGACGGTAGCCAGCTCTATCATGTGTATGCCCCATTGCGCAATGGTGCTGCTCGATTCGTTACCATCATCGCAGCCTAGCGGTAGGCAAAGCCTCGTGGAATCGACCCAGCCACCAGGTATCATAGAGACTTTCCGGTTCTTGACGCCGAGGCTCAGCGTTGATGTGTGTACTACGTCGAAGATTTGAGAAAAGTCATGGGGCCACGGTTGATTCGCATCGTCCATCTGCCAGTCACAGGTGGGCGGTCCATGATGAGGCTGTATGGAAGATCAATCGGTGCCAATGAGGATCATATCCATGAGTCCATACTGGCCAGAACTGTGGCAGCCAGTCGGGTGCAGCATGAGAAGACGGCACGTATGCTTCCTGATGGCGGGGTTGGTGATGTACAGCCAGCACCACAACCGACTGGACATCTAGAACGTCCTTCGTCGACAGAGTCAGATGGAGCTGGCCATTGAGGATGGTTTGTAGGACGATGGATTGAAGCTCTGTTGCGTCGTAAGCATATGGACTGTCGTGTAACACACTGTTGAGGTTCATGCCCAATCGGTTTGCTTCTTGCTTTTTGCCTGAGAATGGCAGGTTGCCGTTGTCATTGGCAATGTGCTCGCTTGATGGTGCCGTACAGGGTCAACCTCAGGCTGTGAAGAAGTTGGAGTCCCATGAGGTGCCGATTACGTCTCGAGCAGAGAGGGCGGCATCAACCAAACTTGTAGAAGTTCCTAACTCCGGGCCAGAGCTTGCAAGAAAAGTGGTGATGATGAAATGTCCCACTCGGCCAGCCTACGGCGAGATATCGACCTCATATGCCTCATTGGGACTCTTGTAAGCGAATGCGAAGGACAGGAGTCAGTCAAGCAGGCCTTGGTGAGGATCATGGGCGGACAATGGCATGCATATGAACACGGCCTCGAGGTTGGTGATCGTTCTGACGCCCTCCAGCTCCCATCAGCAACATATGAACCATTTGATGCCGCCCTCCATGATGGCGAAATACAAGCGAGGGAAGCGAAGTCCAAGGTCCGGGGCACATGCACTGGAGAGGAGAAGGTCGAAATAAACTTGTTCTATGGTGCCATAGAAGGATCGGTATGTACCTGCGGTCGTCAGGCGCAGAGTGGTATTGTTCAGGAGTGCCGAGATAGCCACCGTAACCACGGGTGAGGACCTGAAGGTTGTGTTGCATTGGACTAATCTGGAGGATAAGGTACCGGCCGGAGTAAGACGATTGGGCCGAAAACCATTTGTTCGGGCCTTGCCTCCAGTCACCGAAGTGGTAAAGTCTACGCTGTGGTCAGGACATGTTTATCAATGAGTGTTTCTACACATACGGGAAGATGATGGGAAGTGATAGTGGTCAAGACATCCAGTAACGTGTACCATATCCAAGACAAGCGTGAAGATATTCGATATCGGAGAGGGGAGGTGACTAACTGATATGAGATGATTTCCAATGTGAGGCTGAATCTTTTCGGTGTAGCTCGACGTTCGTTTATCGAGACATTATAAGAAAACACTACTAACAAAAGTTGTTTGCAGCACGGGGAGATTTAGAGTACACACTCTGAACTTACAGTGCTTATCAGGCATGGCTTGTAGAAATTGCCGCTGGAGCTCCGTCAGCCTGTTTCGAACTTTCGACACCCACAAGCCGGCAAGGGCTCGAGCCTTTCAAGACCCCTCGAATGTCTGAAAAGCTTCCATCATGATGGAAAAGAAGGAAGTCAATCTTGGTCACCCCGCAAAATTCCCCAGGAAAATGTAGTCTCTGTTACATTGACCTCTTTCACCCCCCCACCCTTCCATCCCCGACCCCCCCCTCTCCCGGACCCCCCCGCGCCCCCGCCCCACATGGAATGTGGGTCTCTTCGAACAAAGTGAGAAGAGGTCTATGATAATTTTGAACGTTTTGGCCGTTAGCTGCGAAAATCCTTATATAAGCAAAAAAATCTATTTAATAGTTATTCGCGAATATTTTAATAATAATAATATGTATTTAAATTCGGTCTATTCATTATATTTGGTATAAACTAGAACTTTTACGTTGTAATTTTTATTTATTTATTATAATTTATATTTATTATTAGGGGGGATAGCTCAGTTGGGAAGATCTGGGCTTGGATTTACCTTGCAGTTTCTGTAAGGTCGTAGGTTCGAATCCCACTCCCCTCTCTTCTATCCGATCTTTCTAATTCTTAAATCGGATGGAATTTTTCTCCCACCCTAAGTACGTAGTTAAACTTGCAAGGCTCTCCCTAGTCCAAAACCTTAGGTACTCTGCCGAAAAAGTGGATTCGGGTTGATTTTCCCTACTTCGAAAAGTAATTACCCCGTTTGATAGTATGACAACTTTTTCGCTTAATTAGCATATAATTCCCTAATAGCAAGTAGGGTAATGCTTACCTTCGCTTCCGCCAACTCTAGGGCCTTTGGGCCGAAAGAAGATTTTAAGAAGAATGCCGATCGAAATCCGTAAAACCCCTCTTCCTTCCCCCTAAAAATATTACCCTATATAAAACAGACGATCTCGGGGCGGTAAAGAAAGGGTAGGGGTAGAGGGGTAGGCTATAAAAGGACTTTGAAGGAAGGCTTGGATTAAATAAAAATAAATATTAAATATAAAGACACAGGAGGTTTTCATCCAGTATTCAGCGATATACAAATATAGTTAGGTTAATTTGGAGGATAGAGAATTCGAATGTGAGGTTAGGCGAATTGGGCGCGAACGTTAAGTAATTATTAAGTAAAGCCGGAAGGGGCGATTCTTAAAATAAATAATAAATCGAATCGGGCGAATAAAACATTATGATTTAATAGATTTCGTTTTAATTAGGGTATATTATATAAAGAGAGAGTATAATTATAATTATACAATTTAGTAGATTTCGTTCTAATTAGAATTATAACTTCGGTTGACGGCTAAAACGTTCAAAGTTGGCTCAGACTTACTACCGTAAAAAAGTGTGCCCGTCCGCTAATTGGTGGGTGGTATAGGGGGGTGGGGCGGGCGGGCGCGTTTCGGAGGTCCAGCAGGTTTGAGGTCTGAGACAAGGAAAATGACCTTGACATACGGACCTTAGCATGGGTCGACATGTTGGAAGGAGGAAGGAGATCCAATTTCAAGAACGCCGGGATCGAGATCGAAACCGGAATGGGAATGTCAATGTCGCTGCCAACGGCCTGACGATGTTTATCGGGTGGATATCACGACATGTCGCCTGGATGTTGACATGCACGACGAGACGGGCAGACGGGGTAATTGGGAACCTTGATGGAAGAGTTGCCTGATCTGGCTGCGATTCAAGATGCAGTGGCACGTGACCGGGACCCGGCATCACAGAGAGCTGTAGCTCGAGCTGTATGTCTTGGCTGTTAGATATTTCCCGCACAGCTTGGCGCAATATTTAACAGCTAGTACATCTCCGCATTTTACAGTGGACCCGGTGATGTCGCAATTCTGGCGACAAAGCAACAAAGCGAAAAAAGAGGACGGTGACTCCACCTTGTACCTGGGAGCTTCCCGCGCCCCACCCAAGCTGAGCCAAGCGATTTCGCCATTTTGCCCTCCTCTTGCAAGAGCGACGGCCAATCTTGTCTCTTTCTGTCGCAACACTCACAGGTCACAGAGAAGGAGCAAGTCTAGCACGTCCGATTTCAGGAGGTGAAGCAAGAGGTTCAACACCCCGTTGCGAGACTTGTATTTTCTCAATTGCCATCTTGGAAGGAGCTGAGTATTCAGGTCCCCATCCCATCACCGAGAGCCGTCGCAGAGCCGTTCCATATCCGGTTACGCTAAAGACGACTCGTACAGCTGAGCTTCAAAGAGTTGGAACTCAGCCAGTCGATCAACTCAGACAACAGCCCTGTGTAACACACTGGAGTGGAACAAATCATCACAGTACGTACAGCACCAAAAAGGACCCTTTAAACACTCTCCCCCAGTCTTGACTCGGATTACGACCAAGGTGTGCATTGCGCGCCACCCGCCTGGTCTTGCTTCCAATGCTCCCTTCCCGTCCTCCCACAGACGTCCCCTAACCTTGATACCTAGCCTTCTGAAGTGCAGCTGCACACTGCGCTGGACTCGAGTGCACTAACACTTACACTGCACCAATAACAAAAGGTCAACGTGCCCATCTCCTCTTTGTGTCCAGCAGTCCTTCAACGGTCCGTCTTTCACACGACATTACCGGGTCATCTGGCCCTTCTCTTGATCGCCTCCTCCTTCTCGGGGCCCCATCTCCAATCCTCCGCCAACGACAAACAGACCCATCACGTGCCCATCCAGAGAGATCGCCAGTTGGGCTGCCCGGCATCCCCTCCCTCCTCTTTCAGCTTGATCCAGACCTACCAACAGTGGAGCGAGATTGGACCTCTTAGACGACGGTAGACCGCCCAAACATCGGCCACCATCCATACACCTCACACACAAGGACCACAGGGAACCCCAAGACATCCTCCAGATCACGCAAGATCGATACAGCGCCAATCTACGATACATCAATCTGCCTCCCCTGGTCAGCACGCCATCGCCCTCCAGCCTGACAACCATCGCTAGCAAGCGAGGGCCCAATGCTTGGTGCTGCCTCTGCCGCCATCCATCGACAAGACCACGCAACCGCAACCGCACTCTACAGACGCATAATCGCAGCGTAATCTGGGCCCGGCGGTCCTCGACTCCCTCTCCCAATGGATTCCTACCACCTCGCCCCGTCTCGTCTTAATGACATCTCCAACGACCCGACCGATATCACAGACCAAAACTGCGACCGCAAACGTCCAGAGCAACAGGCAAGGCTGCGCTCCCGCAACAGCGTCACCAACATGTCGTCCGTCCTCATGAGCAAGACTGTCACGCCCTTCCTCAGGGAACATATTCCCAGCCTCTACGCCCCCATCGGCAAGCCTGGGAACCAAGAGACGGCCAGAGCAGAGAACCCCAACTCCAAGTACTGCTACAGACATCACCCAGACTCAAAGTGCCGAAGAGCTGCCGACAAGGCCAAGATGGTCATGATTCAGAGCGAGCTGGACAAGCTCACATCAGCGGTAGGTCTACAATATTGGAAAAAAAAAGAGGTTTGGTGGCTGACTTGTACCTTGCTTGAAATAGGATCAGCAAGCTGTTACCCACGTGTGGTCCCTGTTCTCCGCCGCCCCTGCCCGACACCGCGACCTGATGCTTCAGGGTATCCTCTCCCAGCTCTGCTTCCCACAGCTCTCGTTCGTCTCTAGAGAAGTCAACGAAGCCCTCAAGATCGACTTCATCTCCGCCCTCCCCGTCGAGCTCGCCCAAAAGGTCCTATGCTATCTCGACACCGTCAGCTTGACCAAGGCCGCCCAGGTCAGCCAGAGGTGGCGAACCCTGGCCGACTCCGATGCCGTCTGGGTCCGCATGTGCGAGCAACACGTCAACAGGAAATGCACAAAGTGTGGATGGGGATTGCCCTTGCTGGAACGCAAGAAGCTGCGCAACTACACAAGACAAAGACAGTTGGCCAAGGGTGGGCCACAAGGGAGGATCACGGAATTGGCCGACTCCCACGACAGCCAGCATCAATCAGTCAACCAACACGGAAAGCGCCCGGCAGAGACGGAGGAAGAGGATCCTATAAAGAAGCGCCAGTGCATCGCTGAAGCCTCCAAGGCGGTAACGCAACCCAAGACACGAAGCTGGAAGGCTGTCTACCGGGATCGCTGGCAGGTCAGCTACAACTGGAAGAACAGCCGTTACAAGTTGTCAGTTCTCAAGGGTCATGAGAATGGCGTCACCTGTCTCCAGCTCGATGATAACATCCTTGCGACTGGATCGTACGACGCCACCATCAAGATCTGTACGTGGCCTTTCTCCTTTGGACATGTTACAATGGCGCTCCAGACTAACACATTCTTCTTGACAGGGAACATTGAGACTGAAGAGTGCATCCGGACCCTTGTTGGTCATACAGCTGGCATCCGTGCGCTGCAGTTTGACGATTCGAAGCTCATCAGTGGCAGTCTTGACCGTATGTTGTAACCCGCCTCCAATCCTAGCATGCCAATGTTGCTAACTGATTCGTAGACACCATCAAGGTCTGGAACTGGCATACCGGCGAGTGCCTCAGCACGTTCGCTGCGCATACCGACTCAGTGATTAGCGTCCACTTCGACGGCCACCTACTCGCCAGTGGGTCGAGCGACAAGACAGTCAAGATTTTCGACTTCAATTCCAAGGAGACATACTGCCTCAAGGGCCACAGCGATTGGGTCAACTCGACCCATGTCGACATCAAGAGCCGAACCGTCTTCTCCGCCTCGGATGATACAACGATCAAGCTGTGGGACCTGGACACGCGCCAGGTTATTCGGACATACGAAGGACATGTCGGCCATGTGCAGCAGGTCCTCATGCTCCCGCCCGAGTACGAGCCCGACGAGGAGGTGCTCAACGGAGCTTTACAAGACAACCAAGACGCCATGTCGGTATCATCGACCGGAAGCGGAAGCCCAACCATGTCGCACGCACAAATCGAGCACGCCGGCAGCCCTGGCAGCCACAGCCCCAGCTACAACCCGCTACCGAGCAGCCTGCCGAGTGGAGACGATGACGTGCGCCACCTCTATGGATCCGCCTTCGCAGCAGACGAGTCACGGCCACTTCCCTCGCGCTATTTCATGACGGGCGGACTCGACAGCACCATTCGCCTCTGGGACAGCGCGACCGGCCGGTGTCTGAGGACACTGTTCGGCCACCTCGAGGGCGTTTGGTCTTTGGCGGGAGATACGATCCGCGTTATCAGCGGAGCTAACGACGGCATGGTCAAGACGTGGGAGCCGCGCAGCGGCAAGTGCGATGCGACGTATACGGGCCACTGCGGACCCGTCACCTGTGTCGGGCTGAGCGATAGTTTGATGGCAAGCGGCAGTGAGGATGGAACGATTCGGTTACATTCTTTCAAGCCGCGGCCTTGTCAACAGTGAGAGGTGGCGGCCGGGACTCCCGCAACTTTGGGATGATGAGAGCATGTCGGGTTTCAACTACCCACTCTGACTGCTCTTGCATCTCCCTCCAGTTTTGGATATTTTGGATACGCCGTCTGCGCCCATCTGCGTCCTCACATCTCTTTTTGTTTCTTTCTTTATCCTCCTCCATTGCGGATTCTCAAGCAACTTTTCGTTTTTTGTGTTTTTTGCTTTCAACAAAACATTGCCTCTCCCCAAGAAGGGAACGAAGGCACATAGTTTTGGGTCAACTTGCAAGCATAGGTACAGCGTCATGTGTTTCACAAGTTAGGCATCCGGGATGGGATCTCAAAAGCAGGCACTTACAGTGATATAGAAAAGGAGGGGGGCGTCATTTGCATGGTTCTGGAAGGATATCTGGGGGTTGGATGGAGTTCATGATTTGGCTTTTTTTTTTTTTTCGTTCTATACCCTCTTGCTTTGGTGTGATAGTGTGAGTTGCGATAATGAGAATGGTATTTTTTGGAATGGGATCTTGTCTCGTTCATGTTCATGTTGTCGTTGATGAACAGAATGCTCAATGCTGATGACGGTTCGGAGATGTGAGGGGAATGAATGTCTTCATGTCTGCTTCGTCTTGTCGCCTTCGGGTTGGCCTTCCAGAATGACCATGGATAGAGAACAGAATCTTGTTCCGTTCCCACATTATCGATTTGCGCGGAGAACGTGTCTCTTTTTACACGTAACGCTCCATCGTAAGGTATGTTTCACTTGGTGGATATGTAAATGGTGCATAGTTTTTGTCTCCCGTATTTCGTCGTCAAGCAGAGATAGATAGTTGATAACCTCATACCGAAAGTCATGACACTAAACTAAGAGGGAGAGGAAACAACAATGTGTCAGTCATGGAAAAGAGGGAATCGCGATTCATCTCTTGAGGTTTCCTACCGGCGATATGCCGTGAGTGATGACGATTAGCCCCAACTGCCACATCTGGATGGCACAAATCCCGTCACAATCACGATCACGATCGAGTGGGTGAGTGGTAGGTGGAACAAGCAAGTGGAAAGTGGTAAAGCACGACCCATCTCCCTCCCGATGTCTCCTTCCTTCCCGTTGTTCTTTCAATACGTAGATGTACCTTCCGCGCAACTTAACAGTTCGGATGGTTCCTTCCTCCGTTGTGAATATGAGCGCATTGGACTTTACGCACTGCAGAGCAGAGGCAGGAACGAAGCGTTGAGCGGTGATGGTTGGAGGTGGCGGTTGATGAAATTCAAGTGGAAAGTGCCATTGTCCGAATGTTTCATGATAGGAAGCAGGGAATGGCTGAGGATGGGAAGGAGCATTTGGCTGTTTGGTGCAAACGGTCAGTGATGAAAGATCTGTTTTGGAGACGTCCAACTTTTATTGCTCAGATCTTCTTCTTAAGTTGAGTTCTTCCTCAGCCTGCAACACTCATCAACCGACCTACTTACTCCAAACCACTTCTGCCACTGAAGCCATCAACCAACAATTCCACCACGACAAACGACGGAAGTCCATCATTGCCATTTCTTACCACGGATTGATCTACATTTTGCGATATCAACAGCTTTCCTTGACCTTCACCAGCTACACTGTCCGGTAAGAACTCCCCTCCTCCCCGGTTCCATCACTCTTTCCCAAATGAAGACTGACAAAATGTTCCTTCAGAACATGACCTGATCCGCTACCAGTATTACGTCGAAAAGAACAAGAACTCCGAGTCCGAAATGACCATGCGCAAGAGGGACAACCTGTCACTCACATGCCACTACCACCCCCCTTCCATCACCATGCATCATTCATCTACAACCTTATCCCACCTTACCTGCTTGAGCGACATCCGTCAGCGTCATAAATCAAGCGAGGCATACAGTCAAGAATCCTTCGAGAAGAACGACTGCTCTCCCTAATTTTTTTCACGAATTTGGTTGAGCACCGGCACATCTCAAGCACTAAGGTACCATCTTCCCGCGCTTCCGTGACAACGATAAGCTCGTGGCAGTCAAACTGTCGCATAGCTTATCGAAGCACGATAAGAACAGTAATGGGTACCTCTACGGTCACGGCGAGTCGGTGACACCACGGAGCATCGGAGAGCGTGTCTTGTCTCATCACGACATCAAACAAATGTCGCCTCACAGCACGCAATAGGGACAAAGACACGATCAAACGATCAATGACCGAATTCGGGTTAATATTGGCCGAGACCCGACATTTGCCGGGCTCCGGAGCGCGGGAACGACGGCTGTCGGCGGGTATTGGTGAGTTTTGTTGACTCTTCTTCACCGTCGTTGATTTCAAACATTCACAGACCGGATTCTCCTCCGTCGTTAGAGTCATCAGCGAGATGTCTCCAGCGAGATGTCTCCAGCGGGCGCCATACCGAAGAACGCACTAGAGAGTTCGCAAGCGCCATGGTCGCCGTTGTCGGCGGTGACATTGAGTTTGACTCTGACGAAGTGGTAGGATTCAACCTCGGCATTGGCACTCTGAGGGACCAGGGCGCCGTCACCGGTGAGCACTGTCACCCCTCGAGACGCGCAACTGGAAAGAAAGAAGCCCAAACAGCGGAATTGATGAGGCCAGGAGGGAAAGCTGGCACGTGGCTGGGCACCTGGAAGGCTCGGCTCCTCCCGGAAGACTTCGGGAAGTATTTCGAAAAGACATCAAACCTCACCGGATCAGCCAGAGCAATTCGGTCGACTCGGATCTGATAAGAAGCTGTCACTCTGCACTCAGGCGGTGGACGGTTCGAACTTTGAAATTCTCGGCTGGATGGTTCGGACGCTGCGGGGTGGAGAACCCTTGTCGCCAATTGACCTTCTCCAACTTCTTCCATGGTGTTGCGACGCTGCGCCGGACACGATCACTGGCGGTGACATTCCGCTCGCCCTTGGCAGGCAATTATCAACAGCTGTCAGATTCAAGGGTGGGGATTCTGGCTAACTCGTTGAGGGTTAGACTCCCAGCCACCTGATTAAGCCTGATTTCTGGGCATATCTAGGTTACCCCAGCACCCCCTATACCTTCTAGAATTCTCGCTTGAGAAAGCGATATACACTCTTCAATTAATTAATTCTGCACTGTCTAATCTGACAATTAATAGTCTAATTTGCATATTCACGTTCAATCACTAACCTACTTTTAAGTAACCATATCCCTATCAAAGGAATCCACTGACAAGACCGTCAGAATAATCTTCAAATCGCCTGGCAATTAGCCTAATGAGTATAAGGCTTTTAAGAGACTTGCTAATAATAATTAAAAATTTAGTAATTAGCTACTTAAAGGAGGACCTATAATCTATTAAGTTCTACCCCCCAAGCCGGAAGATTTTTTTCTTATAAAGTAGGCTAAGGACCGCCTTCTAGTAGTAAAGAAAGAGCTTGTCAAATTCAACCGTAGAATCTGAATTAAGAAGGTCATAATTATTACTACAACAATTATTATTATTACTATTATTAATATTAATAATACGAATACCAGTATTATTACTAAAATTATTACTACTACCTAATTTTAATAAGAAGCCGCCGAAAGCGCTAACAATAAAGAAATAGAGGAAGAAGAAAATAAAAAGGAAGAGGAGGATGAATATTATATTAAATAGGATATTTTAGAGGATATAATTATTAACCCCGCTATCGATTTAACGACCGCTAGGAAGGTAGTATACAATTAAATTAATAATATATATAATACCTACTATAAATATTAGAAGAATTTTAATAACGCTAATATTCGAATCTATAACTAAATAAATACTTATATCGCGGCTTATTATATTAATTCCTCGTTCGAATAGGATTGGTCTATTAAAAACTAGTTTAAAAAGATTGAGGGTTAAATTAATTACTATCCTATCAATTAAATCGCTAAAATTCGTTATAATTACTAAACCTTTATTAAAGAAATTTAGAAGAAGGTCCCTAAGGACTTGGAATAGTAATTATCCAAATAGAAAATTCTTATAACCGCCGGAAAACGTTTTAAAATTAATAATTGCTCTACCCCTACTTTGTAATTTACCAATGTTATCGATATAGTCCGGCTATATAAGCCTATTTAAGTAGTAAATTTATAGAAATTTAATACCGAATTTAAAAATGAATTTTTAAATTATAAAGACATATCTGTTAACTTTAGAAAGGTCAGTATCCGGAAATATATTATCGTTATAATTACATTTAATAAGAAGGCTATTATATACGGCGTTTAAATTATCGGTTATTCTAATTCGTAAGAGTTTACATTAGATAAGGAGGATACTTCTAATTTTAATTATAAAAAGAAGCGGAAGGTTGTCATGGGACTAGAGCCCAGGGGTTAAGCTTGGCTGTTGCCAAGCCGTATCCTGCAGCCTGCCAGCCCGATAAGCCAATAAGCTGCGATGCGAGCCTTCTAGTTGGCTAGACCCGTATAACTACTTAGCCTGTACGGTCTTAGCACTAATTATATAAAACCTTCTTTCAACTACACCCTTCTAATATAATCTTTCCTCTCTTTTTTTCCTTATTAAATATAGTGTTTCAACCTTATATGATTGTTTGCTATACTTTACTCTTATTGACTCATTATATTATATTTAACCCTCTTTTCAAATATTTTATACCTCGCCTATACGTTTAAAGAATTTCCCTTTCATTACTTTAATCTTTCGTAATACCCTCTCCATATTATTCTTATTTCCTTTAGTAATACTATCGTTCTCATTTTTCAACGGTAACCTCTCGCCGTCGCTCTCGTCCCTCAATGATAGTACCCCTCCCTCTACATTTTTTGTGCCCGCGTTACTATTTTCTTACTAGTACGTTAAGAAAACTTCGTATTCGCTTCGTTCGATTTTGTTCACTCGCTTACAATTAATCCCAATTATAATTATTGCCCGGACTTCCGTCCCTTTCAATAATAATACTAATTCTCTCCTTAAAATCCCTACATAAATAGATTCGCTACTTACAATACAAGCTATCCGCCTACTTTTTCGTATACTATTTTAAATAATAATATTTTTTTTTAG